TGTGTGTGTGTGTGTGTGTGTTCGCCTCACCTCCAAAGCCGTCGGGCACGTAGGTCTTGAGGATGATTTGGCAGAAGATGGTGGGCAACGACAGGGGTTTGTTGCCCTCGTTCCTCAGAGAGATGTGGCGGTATCCGGCCTGCAGGCCATCCAGAGGCAGGATGCGCTGGCCAATCAGCTTGTTGTTGTCGTCGTAAACGGCGATGCGGAGTACTGCCAGATCTGGTAAGATCACCTAGGAGTGGTAGATGCAAGGAAAAAGGATGAGGGTGGGAGGGAAAAGCATCTACAGTTAGAATAACATAATGAACAAAAAGATTAGGTAAAGAGCGTGGGCGTTAGAGGCATTAATTCTTTGTAGTGTGAAAATGGTTAAGCAACTAAATCTTGCAGCTATTGCAATAAACCAGCATCATTAAAGGCGAAGGTCAAGGATGAAACTGCAGGGGACAGTATCAGGGGACAGTCACAGTTAGATACAGAGAAACTGCATGATAGCAGAGCAACACACAGCATATCTGGACTGAAAAGACCATCTCCACTGCTACTACATATCCAGGGATTGGAGTCTATCTCGTAGAATACGTGTGTGTGTGTGTGTGTACGTGTGTGTGCGCACAACTTGTTTCTGTGGATGAGCTTGTGTGCGTACACCCTTGGAGGAAAAAAGAGGAAGCGAGAGTCTTAACTGGCCTTGTGTGTGGAGATAAGTGAGCGGCGAGAGGAGGATGATTAATACCTAGACGGAGGGGAAGGTAAGAGATAAGGCTGAAGAATACTCACTGGAGATGAATGGGTGGAAGCACCGCTTGTGTGTGTACGCTTACACAAATGTAGCCTTGTAGATGTGCTGTGTGTGTAAGTGCTGTTGGTGAGTATTGTTTGCTCTGAGTCATCTTGACAGCAGTGTGTATGCATGCAAAGGTGTGGCAGTATTTCAGTGCTGAGTGTGTATATGTGTGTGTGTGTGTGTGTGTGTGTGTGTGGATGCGAGAAACAAGTCTTTGCCAGCAGCTTTGCCTGTGATGCCCCCGTTCGATAGCACTTTGTGAGTGTGTGTGTGTGTGTGTGTGTGTGTGTGTGTGAGAGTGTGAGAGAGAGAGAGAGAGCAGAGCAGCACTGCGGCAGGCTGTGATTGATGGTGTGTGTTAAGAAGCTGGAGTCACAGTCATGGCTGAGAGACTCCTCATTCTGCTGAGAGCTGCACTATTCAGCGAATGGACACACACACTTATGCTCTCTACATCTCCTTTTTTCTTCCTCCACCTCTAATTATTTAATTCTGTTTGTTTCTGCTGTTCCTCCCTCTGTGCTGTCCTTAGCTGTTTCTTCTGTTACAACACAGGCAAACATTAAGCAGAAGTTTCCTATTCAAGAAAAGTGCTTTTAAACTTTTGGACCCCAGTGTAGTTTGTATTTCCTTTTCTCTTGTGGTTTGTGATACTTCTGCCAATGACCCCAATTATTCTCTCCCATCCAAGATAATCCAATATCACGGTTTTCTAAATTTTAAGAAGAAATTGAAAATTTGCATTATTGTGCATAATCTTGTACTGGTTTCCTCTTCCTCCTACTGTTCAAATGTTAGAGGTGTTGTCTCGCTACCTTTCTGAAGACGAAGGGCTCCTCGTTGTAGGCGGGGTTCAGCCCATTGTTCATCACCATGCGAGTGCGAAACTCTTTCCTGATGGTGTCTGTTGGCAGCCCGTACATGTCCACTTCAACATACGTGCCAATTTTCTTATCCGACAGGAATTGACCAGAGAACACCTGAGAAAAAGATGTTGATCGTTTCAAGTGTTATAGGAATTCATTTAATAAATTATTCACTCTGGCTATAATCAATGCCATCTGAATGTTTTAAATATCTAAAATTATACCACCAGTCCAGTATTATAACTGTAATAGTAGTAATAATTATCTCCATATCTGTAATAACTAACTGGCTCCTAGAATGATGCACTATAGAGCGGAGGGATAACCAAGTCTTGTATAAATATGATATTAAAACTACTTTAATGATTAAAATGCTGTCATTTTCTTTACAGATTTTTCTGACCTGTACACTGCAGGTTGCAGCGATGACACCATCCACTGGTGTCTCAGAGAAGGGGTCAAACATCCTGTCTGACCGCCGCATGAAGTCAGGCTTCAGCAGGTACCTAACACACACATACAGGAGATACATGGAGGACAATGCACAGAGTAGAATTAATCTATCTTGAAGATCAAATAGGGGAACACTTACATTCTGATGTAAATTACAGTCCTCATAATAAAATAGTTTCTATTACTACTATACATTTTTAGCTTCAATAGTGCTCTTTAATGACACAGTGGGACTAAGGCTTTGTGTGTGGGATTTTTTTGTGTTAACCAGGGGCCCATCAGAGAGACATTAGTAATGATGGGTGTCTGCAAAAGCCCTGATCTCCCCACATATGAGATTGACAGCATTAGCAGTTAAATCTGTCCCTCAGGGATAGTATTAGAGCCAAGGGACAAAGACAGCGATGGAGGGAGGAAGAGATAGATGACTGCAGAGAGCCTCGGAGGCGAGCGAAGAGGAGCCTGCTTCTCTAAAACACTCATTGGCTCTCAGGGGTAGACAGTAGCTACGGTCGCTGCTGGCAACCACTAATGAGATGTGACAAGCTTTAATTGATGAGTTTCAGGGAGGGATGGGACTGATGGGAATGAGCTCAGGACAGGAGTGAGGAGCTTTCTCACCCGCATGAGCCGTTGTATTCGAACTTTCCCTGGTTCAACTGCATGGCCAGGTCTGAGAGAGAGAGAGAGGTGAGAAACATGAGGATGAGTGGAGAACAGGAACTGAGATATTATTTAAAATCTAAAACAAAACAATTTACAATACATTGCATTCATTTCTGAGGAGCTATCTCTTAGCTGAAAGAGAAAGGCATTTTACATTTCCCTTGACATCTGGTTTTCCCCCTCTAACCATTTATCTGTCCATCAGATGCTCCAGCTCTTGTGTGACCCTATCTCCCTTGTGAGACACCCTGACGCTCCACCCCGTCCTCCCTCCCTCCCTCCAATGTTGCACATGCTCTGCTCCGAGCGAGCCATATGGTCTGAGCCCTCTTGCCATCGGCCGTGGGACAGCAGCTGTTTTACAACAGGAATCCCTCACTGTATAGGTGTGTATGTGGCTGTGAAAGTAATGTGTTTAGAGTCTAATTGAAAAGCAGATGAACTGGTTGAGTAGGAGATGCACACACAGGTTCGTGGATGCATAACCTGATGCTGCAAAATAACAAGAGATTTCTCTCACATACTGTGATAAATGCACCACAAGTTTCTATTCTAGTCATTTTTCTGTCCACGTTGTTTCAATAGTAAATGTTCTTGTGTCCGTGGGCCTGTTAGCTGCGGTCAGGAACACAGTCTGTTTATTGCTAATTAAAGGCAGCAGATAGCTGTTGCTCCTGGTCTGAAGTCAGCTATCAACAGGTTAGAGAGGACAATGTGCTTTTTGCTATATGGGTGAAATAACCCACGTGAATCAAAGCTGGCTCATTAAAGTCAAATATACTTTCTTGGTATGAAGTTTATGATGTGTGAACGTGAGGTCAGAAGTTCACTGCATGCTGCGCTTCCTTACATCGAAAGCTTGACCGTATGAATGTAATCCTGATTGTGGAATACTTCTCTGGGTGTGTGTGAGGTCAGGGGACCCATGTTGCGTGTTGTGGTACCTGGGGTCTGGAAGTTGAGTGAGACCATCTGGCAGCCTGCGTTCCAGAAGATCTGAGGCATGTAATTACTGGAGTCCACCCGGCCCCCTTTGGGGTAGATACGGCTCATCTGACGCTTGTTGTAGCTGCGCTGACGCTAAGGGATTTTTTTTTTTTTTCCAAAAGAAAGAGACCATGTGTGTTCCAGCACATGTGTGTAAGGGTTTGAGTGTGTGTGTGTGTGTGAGCATCAAACAGACTGCAGGGCTATTTTTAGTGTGAACAGCTTGGGTCATGCAGTCCCATTGGAGAGAGAGAGAGAGTATGCGGGTCAGGCCGAGTGACACAGTCCAAAGGCACACGGGCCTCCAGAGGCCTTCAGTTCTCTTCCAGCAGCAGAGTGGAAACAAATATGGCTGAAAACATCAGCTGACCCAACATCCAGATCTCATTTATGTGACCTTATTAAGATAAAACTCTGACTATCACAAAAGGCTGGACGTTATTGTGATCAGTGAAGAAGAGTGGACATCTCAGTAGTAGTGATCATTGTTAAATGTATAGTGAGTAAACATGTAATACAATCTGGTCACTCTGAAACATGCTTTTCTAGCTTTCAGTTTCTGTTTTCCAGATAAATGCAGCGCAGCTGATAATGGTTTCTCAACCGTCCAAAGGATACTTGACAAACTCGATGGCGTTGGTCTTCAGGTAACCCAGGCCGACAGACTCGTTGAAAGATGACATGTTATGATGGATGTTTCTTTCTGAGGGACAGAGAAATTGAGAGATCAGCAGTGAATAAAGCTGGATTTGTTTGGCATTAATATTTTGAAAGTAGAGTGGTGAAAACCTGCAAAGACAAAGAACTCTAGGGTATAGTAGTAAAATCTCTGACCTCATTATTGTTATAGTATTTTTTTTTTTTTTTTCCAGACCAAAATATAATAAAAGCTCATGAATCAGGCTCTCAGCTCAGCCCTTAATTATTTTACTAATTCATATCATGTTATTATAAATCATCTGGTTATAGTAGAGCTCAATTATACAACAAGGAAGTCAAGCTCACCCTCTGCCACATCAAAACTCTGGAACTTGACAGGTTGTGCGTAGTTGACCATGGCTGAGAGATATGGGTGGATGTTGGTGGTGGCTCCTACATACGTGTACTGAGCGATCAGAGCCTCTTCAGAGTCTTCTGCTTCTTCTGCACCCTGCACAACACAGGTACACGCACACATATCTGGGTTAATTCAGGAGCGGTGATCGAGTGTGTGGGAGAACGAGTGGAGGCAGATGTGTACTCGCCTTCTTGTTGTTGTCTTGGTCAGATGCTTCAGAGATGTCTGTGATGTCTGTTGGTTCTGTGGCTTCTGACATCTCCGTCACTTCATCATCAGGTACCTGCAAACAACACACACATAAAAAACTTAGAATCCACTTAGATGTTTTCTCTCGACTTTGTGATTCATTACAACATTGTCATTAAACCATAACATTGACATGTATTACAGAGGTTAGTCAATTGAAAAGATTATTTGTCAAGATACATGTATTTAATACTTTTAAGCCTAAAGTAGAAGTAGTCAAAAATATTACTGCCTTATTCATAATATAAATAATTCTTAAGACTTGTTTTTGACAGTGTCGATAAACATTATCATTAGTAAACATTATCATTAATAAACATTGTTATAAATAAACATTATCATCAGCAGGTTTACTAAGTTACTGCCAGTAATCTGAGGCATTCTCAGATTTGTCTCACTGGACCTCACAAGGCTACAGCCAAACAGTTATTAGTATTCAACCACTTCACAGCTGATCTGTATAAAGTTCTTTGAATGTAACTTTTCTAAATGTTTGAAAAGACTGTCTGTAATTCTAAATGACTTTCTTCTTGTTGCAGTGGTCGCATCAGAGTTGAAGGATTTGAGCCTTTCTCATTGAGCTTCATCAACAACCAGGTCCTGAAGTCATATCCAGATCTTATTGTCCAGTGTCAAAGACGCTGTAACCATGGTGATGTCAGTTAATCGAAGTGCTAACCCACCTTCTTAATGCTGTTGTTGCGTTCCTCTTTCCTCGTGCTGACAGCGTTACTCTGGGAGACACTGTTGGCGTCTTTCTCACTTGTTGCCTCTGAATTCAAATCTTTATCCTCAGCGTCTTTTTCTCCTGCACACAAACACAAAGAAATTAATATTAGAGCACATTTTCTCCAATTACATCTCATTATGTGTTCAGCTGTGATACAATGATACTTCACAGTCTGATGGATTGTAGTGTATTAATGCAGCTTTTTGAAATATTTGATTTTTACCACAATATTTGCACAGATGTTTATTAAATGTTATTAAAAGCTATTAAGAGTGTTTGACAATCTTTTATTGTGATAGTCTAAATGTCTTAATCACTTCCTCTTCTATTATACTACTGCAGCTGTGTGAGAAACTCAGCCACACGTAACGTGCTGCATGATGCACTTAGTGTTTACAACTGACCGTTCTCTGGCTCTTCTTCATTCTCCTCTCCCATGATGATGGCTGGGGTGTTGGTCTCTCCGGCCTCCATGTGTTTCTTGAAGGCCTCTAGCTGCTCTGTATTCCAAATTAAGACGCATGTTACAAAACAAGATACGGGTCATGAACAGATTCCAATTATTCACTGAGATGACCTGTGTACGCACTCTGTTCCACTTCAGGTTTCAAGCGTTTGTTTTTGATGAGGATTTTACGTTTGAGGTCGTTCGGAGAGGGTAAGGGACGCCCTGATTCAATCTGTCAAGATAACAAAATCATATTGAAATCTAGGTCTCCATCATCTTCAAATTACTATTGATCAAGAAGTCAAGAGGAGCGTATTCACCGGAAAGTTGTCCACAGGCTGTTTGAGGAGGAAGTCGCCAAAGAGCTCCTCACAATATTTGGCCATCTTGTACTGCTGTGGTTTACTGATGACACACATACAAAATTGTGTCCATTTACTGTGTAACATATAAAGCAAAATAACCATTACTTGCTTATTACTAAATTGCAAATTTACCTGCAATGATTTTCAAAGGACAAAATAACCGGGTTATCTGAAGTGACAAAAGCCGTCTCTTTGATGGCTTGGATAACATCCTGTTGGAAGAGGAGGAAAAAACATAAAATTAAGAGCATTAGGAAGGAAGACCCATGATAAATGCACCACCATGCTTTCAACACCAGGGGGCAGGCACTCAAAGAGAAACTCTTAAAGATGTTGCAGTAAATGGCTCAGCATACTGTGTGTGTGTGTGTGTGTGTGTGTGTGTGTGTGTGTGTGTGTGTGTGTGTGTTCAATCACCTTAAACAAGATATCTGTGCACATGGCCTTTCCATGGGTGATGATTGGCTCCTGGTCCTCTCCTTTCCCATCCCAGCAGTCCAGCTCTACACACCTGACATCATGAAGATCACCCACCAAAGAACATGCAGAGTTACATAGAGCCTGGTTCGTCTCTGTGTGTTTGCAGAGATGCAGTGGGCTGTATGTTTAGCCACCACATGTGCGTACCTGCATCCTGACAGTAGAACCTGGCGATACATCTCTACTGAGGACTTCCCGCCAAACTGTCGGCCCGTCAGGTAGGTGTTGTGGGAGGAGCTGATGAAGTAATGGGCCAGTGGTTGGTCCATTTCCTGGTACAACTCCAGCCGGTCCAAGAAAACTGGAGCGTTTTCATCTGACATCAGGTACCGACAAAACCCGTCACTAGACATGTGGCCTGAGAAAGAGAGGACAAGAGGTCAACTCTTATTTCAGACGAGAATAATCAGCTGGATGATGCAGTAGTTGTTTCAGCTTCCTTATAAAATGAAACAGTTGGAGATATTTTTGCATATTTCAAGCTTTTAAACTGGACTCATTGCTTCTTAATGGATTCCTAAATAATCGTATTGCCTGTGTTTAACCCCCACTGTCTGCAAGTCTGGGGCTACTTTAGAAAAAGCAGATTTAACAAACTCTGAGCATAAATCAAAACTCTCAGCTCATGAACCCTGAGATGGGAAAGTCAGAGTTTTCAATTCCAGATTAGCTGATCTTAGTTGGTTCAATCAAGCTCAGATACTGCGATTCACCAGGTCAATGGTTAAAATAAATCCTGCTCAGCAGTATTCAATGACTATATTTCAACAAGCAGTCATACATTTCTATATCATACTTAAAAATGCAAATTTAAAAATATCACATTTTTTCAGCCACATTATCCTGGATAACAGATATTAAACCCAGGAGACTTCTAACATGAAGACAAATGTGAATATTCGACCAGACTGTGGATTAACAGATGTCAACTGTAATGAATAGAAATAATCACATGATACAGCACTATGTGGAAATTTCAGGCCACAGAACATCATTTGCTGTGTGGGAGCTGCTTTGTGTCAAATGTACAATGAGTTAATTTAGGAACACCTGCTGTCCTGTGAATAAGAAATGAGTTGAATGACTCAGATGCATTTTACTGCATCAACTAAATACTACAGCATAGAATGATGTCAATTAATTTGTCTGACATACTGTAATGTCAAAGTTACACAGGCAGGTGGCAGCAAAGCCTATTTCAATCAGCCTCCTGCTTCCCTCCATCCATCCTTTTACCTTTCTTCTTCAGGTTGTCGTCTCGCTCGTATTTTTCAATGATCTGCATGGCTCGCTTAGGGTCATAGAACGGGAACAGAATCTCATTTAACCGGGGGTCACGCTGGTTCTGTAGTGCAGCACACACACACACACACACACAGAGAGAGAGAGAGTCATCCATACTGACAGTTATTTCCAAACACTAACTGGATTTAAGACACTGTCACATAGAACAGGGGTAGGTGCTAACAGTGCTTCTCTTCTTATTTGGACAAATACAATTGTTAACTTAATGTGAGTTAAAATGAAAGCCACTTCAGGCTAGACAAGCTATAACAAACAAAACTTCATTGTGAAACTGAGCCAAACTGACAGGTGCAGTGGTTGGTATGAAAGTAAGGTTCAAGTCAGCTCAATATAAGCAAAACACAGCCCACTCTGTTAGCCAGGTGGGAGGTAATCTAACCAAAGCTGTGGGTCTGCTGGCAGCACCAGAGCGTGCAGAGCAGGGCTGGTCATGAAGCAGCACACACGGGACTGCACGGCGGAGCGACTAAGCAGGTATTCAGCCACAAAGAGCACGGCCACGCACCACAGACAGACAGCGGGAAGCAAGATGAGCCAAGCAGGAAGCAACAGGATGGAAACCTCTATCCTCCCGTTGCCATGGCAACACTAATCAGACACAGGGTAGGCACGCCGCGGCGGCAATGGAAGATGGGGGGGCCTGGGATGAGGGCGGGTGTGCAGGACAGGGCAGCCGGTTGAAGTTGCCCTCACAGGGCTGACTGGAAGAGAAAACATTTTGTCCCATATCCCATTAACGGAGTTCAAATGAGGGCCGGCTGACGTGCAGTCCGAGCTGGAGGGCAACTTCCACCGAGAGCAGGGCAGGGGGCGGGGGGGTGAAGCAGGGGAGTCGCAGAAAGGCGCACGGGCAAGCCACACACACACAGAGAGACGTTAATGAATGATAAAGAGCTTACTTCATTCAGAAAGCTGACTAACTGGTCTACAGTTAAATAATCAGTTTTGTTCCCATTGCTGCAAAGGAATTAATTAGAAGAAGAAAAAACAAAATGTTATGCTTCTTAAATAGACATTCACACAGTCAGTTAAAATTAGAGAGGATCAGTCTTCAACGTTCTACTTTTAGTAACAACATGCTAATCACGGCTCTGTTGTAACTGTTGTCATTAGGTTGAACCGTGGAAGCAGGTTAGGCTGTCCAGACGTAGTTAGTGCAGCAGCCGCAGAAACATTCATCCTGATTATTTCCAACAAGATGCAGTTTCTCACACTTGGAGGGAAACATTTCAACAGTGGACAACATTGTTCTGTTCAGCCACATGGTAACATGGGTACAGGGCAATGCAAGGGCACTACGGTCAGTTGTTTATTTGGAGGGTTATATCTGAGGTATACAAATCAGTAATTGATTAAAAGAGGGCAGGTTAGAAAGGGACACTCACATTTTCTTGAAGAGTTCCTCGATGTCGGTGCGAGGGCAGATCTTCTGTGTGAGCGCGTAGAAAATGTCAAAGGTGAAATCTACTGGTTCGATCTCATCGTTCTGGGGAAGGAAAACGAGACGGCCGTTAGGCATCATGACAGCTACTTACTGACGAACAGTACAGATCCATCTGATCATTACAGTGGACAATCAGTGCTGTCTGACCTTTCCACTAGGAAGGCCCAGGTCCTTCAGAGCCTGAAAAATCCCTTTCTCCGTCTTCCCTGATGCGAATGTGCGCGTAATGCTGTGACAGACGAGGAAAGAAAGGGTTAGAAGAGCTGAATATAGATGAGTGAGTTATACTAGATTTAAATAGATGTGGTTTAAACTACTCTGCCCTGAGGTACTCTTACCCTCTCACAGGAATCTTCCCATTCACATTGGTCAGGAAGCACATTCTCATCCAACTAAAGGAGACAAGAAATTTGGATTTACAGACAAACTGAACTTCAAACTGTTTATGACACTTTTCAAAACACAGAATGAATCTAAATAAGACGTGTTAAAAGTGCAGCAGGAGTCACTCACTGTTTCTTGAGGCAGGTCATTGGACAGACGTTGTTGGCCTTAAAGTTGTGAATCACCGACCTTAAACCCTCGATCCACTTCTGCAAAACAAACAAGCAAAAGTATTTACTTGACACACACACACTAATCATCTGACACACACTAACCAGCAGAAGCCCAGATATGCGCAGCAGCTGAGAGGGGATCCAGAAGTGTGAATTGTATTTACAGGTCCGTCTTTGGGGAAATAAACCAAAGCAAATGAATTGCCTTTTAATTCACACACAAAGGCGTGTGTTTTGACAGGACCATTGGGAACATGGAAGTGAGCCGCTTCAAGGCCACACAAGGTGACGGTAAACAAATAGTGAGAGGAGGCTGTGTTACTTTCAAATGGAAACCCTGCTGACTGCATCCACACAAACACTGACGAGGAGAATCGGAGACGTCTTTGACCCTTCAGGTTTCCCATCACTGCTTCACATTCTGCGTCTATTGTGCTCCGACTCTCCTCCACAAGAATTATTAATGACGTCATTATGAAAGCAGAGATAACATAGACATAGGCTGTGTGGGTATGTGGTGTCCATGAAGCTGTGTGTAAGCATTGGTGTGACTGTGTCTGCTGATGTAAATAACTCATAAGTCATTTCCCGGGTCTGATACTCAGGGCCACCTGTCTGTGTGTGTGTGTGTGTGTGTGTGTGTGTGTGNACATCTGGCACTGACGAACCATCTACACGCTGGGAACACACATCTGCACATCATAACTGAGCAAATTACAAACTCTGAGCTCAGGCTCAGGTGGCAGAAAGTTCAGTCCACTTTGGGAGTGTGTGTGTGTGTGTGTGTGTGTGTGTGTGTGTGTGTGTGTTGATGTGTGTGTGTGTGTGTGTAGAGAGGAGGAGGAGGGAGAGAGAGAGAGAGAGAGAGAGAGAGAGAGAGAGAGAGAGAGAGGAAGGGGACAGAAATAGAAGGAATAAATGGGTTTTAAACTGTGGGGGATGAGGGCATGTACCTGGATCTGCATGTGTATATGTGCCAGGCCCCCCCATATCATTGGCAGCCCTGTGGCAGCGAGCTCTCTGGAGTGTAAACATCATTTGTAACACCCATCACCACAAAAACTGTGTCAATACAAACACTGTGGTGATTAACAGACCTGTGCTGGCGCCGACCAAACCGTTTCAAACTGGTTGTTTTAAATCCTGGGGACATTTTTGTGTCTTATAAACATCAATATTTTCCACTGCATCCTGTCTGATGTCACCAATGACAACTGAGGCAGTTGAGCGTCAGGTACCTGCCCTGCGAGCGCATTCACTCGAGCGTTGTCTCGTTTCCATCACTGCCGATCAGAGACGTAGCCAATAAAGTTTGAAGTGGCAGCACCCAGCACTTCAAACAATAGATTAACAACAGATGCTTTGATAGGTTAGAGTTAAGGTTGACAGGGAGAGAGAGCGAGGAAGACATGAAGCAAAGGTTTTGGAACTAAACCTGCCGCTGGTGCAGAAGGACTTTGTTTACATTCGCCTTTATTTTCATCAGAAACTCTTTATGTCATCTATCTCTCCATCCATCTGACAGCAGACGACCCTGAGGTAGAGAAAAAGTGCGCTGACTCAAACTTGTTAAAGTGCTTTTTCTTGTTTTGGCTTTGAGTCTTTCAGTGATTGCTAAGCCTTTGGGCCAAGGTGGATTTATCACTATTAGAAGATATACGGTAGCTGACTTTTACCGGGTCTTCCTCTAAAACTTTCTTTGCCTTGAAGCTACGTGTCATTTTTTAAGTGTCTCTAACCTTTGCAGACGATGAAAAGATGGAGATATTTTGCAGGTCTTTGTTATTGTCATAATTGCCAAGAAAACTAAAAAAAACAAAACATTAAATTGATCAGAACAAGTGTCGTCTCTGTAGCTTGAGTTTTAAATTGAGGTTGTTTCTGTTTTCCACCTTTTTTCATCAATGGGCCACACTATTACACTGGGAGCCATTTTCCACAGCTACAATAGACGTGGGCACTGCAGCTTGTTTTGAGCCAGGCCCTAAAACACAGTCGAGCTGCCATAAATACTCCCCAGTGCACCAAATGGATATTAATGTGCAGCTAAAAATAGTCCTGTACACATGAGTACTGTTTTATAAGACAGTGATCAGCTTTTTGAGGAAAGCCTTTCACAAAATGAAGCTTCATATTTGTGACTCATATTAAAAGACTTATGTCTTTAATGGGCTTGGAGTGAGACAGACACAAGGGAAGACAGAGAGGATTGAGAGAAAGACCGAACATTTATATATATTTGAGTTTGTTGATAATATTGAAAATGTAGAATACTAAACTTATTAATAATAGGCCAACCAATATAGGTTGTGTTTTTGCGACATTCTGTATTAGCTGCTTGGTGTCTGAGTTTTCAATGTTAGCTTGTCGGCCCATATCTGCATGTGTCTGTGAGAGGCTCATATTAGCAGATTTTTCAAGGACAAGCGATAAATTGTTCAGACTCTGCCATTTCATTACTTCAACACTGACACAGAATCATCTTTGTGGTATCACTCTTTAAATTCAGATCAATTCAGGTCCAGAAAACTGAAGCGTAATCTAAACAAACATGTGAGTTGTGAGCTGTACAGGGGGGATATCAGAGTCCGAGTTTGCCAGTGGGGATCTGCAATACTGATGTCAGCTGATTAAAGTGAAAGAGAGAGAGGGGGAGAGAGAGAGAGAGAGAGAGAGTGGATGAGTAAGTGTAAGAGAGACAGTGTGAGTGAGTGAGAAAGTTGTTTTTCTACTTAATCAGCCTGATTTCTCTCAGAGCTTTTTCCTTGATGAGTGGGTAGAAGACGAGAGAAAGAAGAGAGAAATAAAAGCAAGAGAGAGGGGACACTTCAGAACAAGACAAAAAGGAAAATAACAGCTAAAGCATCTGAGCAACAGGGACCAAGGAGAGGGAGATGAGGTGAGATAGGAAAAGATGAGTCATTCTAAAAGTGTCTATTTATCCATGGTCAGTTCTACCTTATGTGGGAGTTGGCATATAAACCACTCACATACCAATTTGCCTTTGTTCTGAATGAAATATGTGCGGTGTCAGGGTGTCCGTTAAACCTCTGAATTACATATTGTGGAAATGTTGAATGATTATGGGGGGGTATGCCAGAGTGGCTGTGTTTTCTAACCATCTGGGACCTCCATCTAAAACTGCTTTCAGACATGCACTGAACTCCAGACATTTTCTGAAGGCGTTTTATTTGAGAATGCTAATGTCTGAGTCAGTTGCTCTGGACATTTTCCAGAAACTGTCCTGCCAGCCTCCTGGTGAATTGTCCAAAAAGTTTATGAGTGAGCCAATGTGAGAGTACAGCAGGAAACACAGCAACGAGTGGACGTGTTGAAAATGTTTTTAACATGTGACGGATGCGATACTGGAAGAATTCAAATGATTTGGCAGACACGTAGAAGACACTGATTAAGATGTCAACTTTGATAGACGAGAGAATTTGACGATAAGGGCCCACACTGATGTCGATGTGCTGTAAACAATACAAGAGATTTCCATTAATGTAATGTGTCTAAACTGCATCTTGGGGCTTCTACTGGAGTTCTACTGAGTATGTGTTTGTGACACAGAAAACATTTCTGAAGATAGTTTAAACTGCAGTGCTATTTGGACCAAGTCGGACACAGTTCACATGAACATGAAAAATTGAACCTCAAATAATCTATAAGTTATTAATCACAGAGCCTGGGCACTGAGCTGTGGAGATACGGAGGATGCATGTATTTACCCTGGCTGTGTCTGGGTTCTCTGCCACCATGAACATGAAGTTCAGGTTGACCAGGTCTGTGCCGCTGCAGATGCAGATGATACATCCCTCCAGGTCGGCCTCCGTCTTTCCAATGGCCTCGAAAGAAGTCAAGATCTTCGGGTCCTGAGCAAGTAGGATGAAGAGAAAAAGTAATTCAGTTTTTGTAGGGAGACGGATTTTATCAGGCTGCGGTTGGTGCATGTTGTTCAATCTATAACTTTAAGAGTCAGCAGAGGGAAATGTAATAAAATCTGATATTACTGCAGTAAAACAGTCCCTGACAAGAAAACACAAAGGGAGAGAAGCTTAGAGAGAAATATGTAGAAAAGTGAATTGCTGCCGTGGAGACGCCACTGGATTTAAAATAATGGCATGATATACAGAATGTGTGGTGCTCTGGAGACCTAAAGCTCCATGCCAGCTACAGACTGATATAATGCATTCAGATTATTGAGGACTTCGTTTGAGTCCAAATTTAGACGTTTAACTGAGCTACTTCAGACAACACTTAACTGAAGCAGCTCAGAGGTCAGTGGAGGTGAGTGTGAATGAGGTCCACTCTGTTGTCAAGTGGTGAGCAACACTGTAACTCACATACATTGAATGTTAAAACGGTCGCTGATTGGATGTAGTTTGGTTTACATTTCTGCCGTAGGGAGTCACATTGTTGCATGAGATGTTGGGCTTTAAGTGCTGATGAGAACACAAATCCTTTGACACTCAAAATGAAACTTTGAATAAACAGGTGAACGGCTCTTTGTGCAGCAGCGGTGGCCTCGGGGTTCTGAGGCCTCAGTCCAGCAGCTGCTCTTTACTCGCTGTCGCTAAATTACTGTCGGTCACTGTTACAGTTTCAGAAAGAAAGATGCAACCAGCATCACCACAGGCCAAGCAAACAGCCGAGCACTGCACAAGATTAAACTGAAGAGATCATTTGAATTACAACAACCTGTGCTAAATGCTAATGCCTGCTTTAGACATGACATTGCTGATTTAAAGAGCTGGATTTCCCCTGATTGTTTTCCTCAGAATCTATACTTCTAACCACAGCTCAGCCTGAAATAGAAAATCCAAGACAACACTCACACTTCCAAAAACACAGCACGATTCCTCCCTCTCATCTTTTCAATCAGATTTCAGTCTGTCGCTATTGTCACCCTGCAGATAGTAACGTTTTTTTGTCATATGATTGAATTAACAGGCAACAGGCGTGGCTGCTTTTCAAACCCCCGCCAGCAATCATCCGAAGCCATTCATCTTTTTCTTGCTCATTGGATTATGTGAAACTGCTCCCTGAGCTTGTGTAACCTCTTTTATCTCCGAGGAGGAGCACCGCAAACGGAGGCTTCTTACAGAGCGGCGCAGAGCATTTGATCAAACAGGAGGAGCTGCTGTCAGTCCGCAGTATCTGTATACGTGTCCTTACACATGTACTCACACACGTCTACACAGAGCCCCAAACACACAGACCCCCTCATGCTGTCAACAGTACGTACACAAACAGGTTGTGTACACAGCACACACCAGTGTCTTCTGTCAGCCCTTTGACTTTTAGAGGCTTCACAGGTTTGCATTCTAATTAGACGCAGGCATCCACAGGGGTATTTTCCTGTAATAGCTTCCATTATTCATCTGGTCCCCATGATGCCTATGATATAATGTGTCACTGTCAAGGCTAAACTGCACAAATCAATATTTAATATACAGAAAAACCATGCAGGTAAACACACCGCACCATCAGCTAAATAAATGCCTGACTGAAAAGACGAATAATGCAGGTTGTACTTTTTGCTTTTTCAGGACCAGTTCCCTGTTACCTAAGGAAAAGTAATTCTGACAGAGACAGAATGTCTTGTGTCTGTGAGCATTTGATCCCATAGAGTGAACTCCTTAACCCACTGATTCTCTGACAGCCCATCATAATAGGGCTGGAAGCATAGTTTTTCATTATTCCTCTCTGGGTCAAAAGCACAAACCAGGGCTGCAAGTAAGAAAAAAAAAAAAAGTTTCAGATACAACCTGCAGCTAAACCGAGCCAGGGTTGGATAAATATGGATGAGTTAAATATTTCATGTTTATGTTCCATGACTGCCCCAGGTGAATGTGATATTTGAGGGAGAAGCTTGGCAGCGAGAAGTCGGCTGAGAGTCCCAGATCAGTCAGTTGATCGATGCGTCACGCTGCGGAAGCCTCGGCTAATTAAAGCATGAATAACACCATCGACGTTTCGGTCTCTGTAGATGTCACCAGGACTGACGGTGTGGGAGCAAGAGACCGAATGCTGAATGGAGGGTGGGCAGACAGCATTTATGTTTTGCAGGCAGAAGCGATGGAAATTGTTTTTTTTCCTGAGGTCTCACCTTTGGGACGGCACCGACTCGAATGCTGTTGATGAGTGAACACTCAAGCACCTGGCCTTCCTGCAGGAGAGACACAGGAAGAAAGACGGAGGGGTAATGGAAAAGGGGGGGATGACAGCAGGTGAGAGGGGAGACAGAGAGGGAGGAGGAGAAGATTAAAAAAAACAAAGCAGATGGATTACAGTGGGATTTATTTTTGCTTATAATTCTACACCACAACTTCTCAGCATCTGTCTACAAGTCATGTTGGTGAATAAGAGCAATATCTCCACATATTTACTCCATTTAGTGTATTGGTTATAGCAGTAATGACACTTGATTGGCAGTGAGCTTATCCCTTATCTCCACCCACCTGTATACAGTACCTACACAGAATAAAGAGGTATATAGCATAGAATGTATATATACATGGAAGACATCCTCCCCCTTTTGTATAGCACCAAATAACTTTTTAAAACCAACTTCACCAGAAAAATGTACACGTAAACATTTACCAGTGTATTAAGAACTACCTCAAATGACAGAAACAGTCTTTGAGAAACATTTGACATGGAGTTTGAGTTTTTACTTTGGTCAATATCCCATCTACTAACATGGATGAGGCGAGGTTTATGACCTACTCTGTAACCAGAATGGCTTACATGTGACCACACCCAAATTAGGAAAAATAAAATACAAAACATACAAAATCTCAATACATTTTAAAGGTTGAAGTTTGTAAGAGCATTTCAAACACAAGGATGTCAGTGCATCATAAAATCAGGAGTTTCAAAAAACATTACAACTAGAAACAACTAAACTGAAAAATAAAGCAGACTATAGTTAATGTTGAAGCTGAAAATCTACAGTTAAAATAAAAACAATAGCTGCACGGGAGGTTGAGAATCAATCTAAACTTTGTACGCTTGGGGAACATCAGCAGTGAGGAAGATGATTACTAGTTATATTGTATTTCTGGGGGCCTTCATTGTTAGATGTAATTTTTTTTCTATTATCCACTTGATGGCCCACACATATATTCTGTCATGGTGAGGAAACTGCGTTGAGCTATTTGCTTTTAGGTTTTTCTCCATGCATTGATGGAAGCTCAAAATTACTTTTACCCATGAAAAACAATTCTTCACGACCTTGAAATGGCTCGAATGCAACTCTACATCTTTGCTTCATTTAGTATTTGCAGATCTATGAATATGGAAATTGTCTCTGGCTCAATCCTCACCCACTCCTCAGCCGCTCGCCTGTATCTCGACTGTGCACATCAAACACACAAACCTCGGCTTGTTTCCTGTTTTCTAGTGACTGAACACAATTGCAAGTGATTTTCGAGTGAGGCAATCATGTGCAAACCGGAAACTGGCTCTACAGAACAGCGAACTATAGGAGGTTATCTACAAGTTGATGTTTCAGAATCAGAATGGTAATTAATGACTGATAAGCAGTCAACACCATAGCTGACTATGTCGACCTTGAAACTTTAATGCACCAATGGCGGTCTCATAAAACAGATTTAGATAGTCTGGCTGTTATTTTTGTGCCTCATTCTTGAGTGAGCAATTTGAGATTTGGAGCATTATTTTTGCAACCACATAACTTATATTCAGAAAAGATGTATTCTGCCCACTGTCCAAAAGGTATACAGATTAGTGTAAGGTTGATTGGATACTATAATTGTCTGTAGGTGTGAATGTTTTTTGTTTTTTTATGTTGACCCTGCGATCCTCTGGAAACCTGCCCAGGGTGGACTCCGCCTCTTGCCCAGCGTCAGATGGGAATAGCTTCAGCTCCCTCGTGACATCAAGGATAAGTGGTATAGATAATCAATTATGTGCACAATACATTCATTTGTATGAATTCTGATTGGCTGTTCTGGGTTTTATTGATCAGAATTCACCTTCTCGGATTGATTGATTTTGTGACACAAGTGTAATGCTGCAGGTTGAGTGTGTGTGCAGGCACAGAGTGGAGGAGTAAAACTGTGTTTGATTGGTTTTTATAGCACAGGGAACCTCCAACTATATTTATTGCACACACAATCGATTTTCATTTGCTTGAATACAATTATTTTTGCTTGCACACAATTAAAATAAAATATAATAAAAATACAAATATATACAATTTGTATTTTTCCTGTACTTCAAATCTCAAATTTCTCCCTCAGGAATGGAACAAATAGTACAAATATAGGAGAGACCACCTTTGCTGCACTAAAGTTTTGACATTGACATAATTAACCATGGCTAAGCAGTCATGTGTCAAATAAAAAAGCCTCATAAAAAGTTGATTTTCATTGGAGGGGGTTTGGTCAGGAGTAAAACACCACATGTAACTAAAGAACAGGTCTTGTCTTAAGCCCCTTGTTACTGAACAATATAAAGTTCTGATTGTTAAACATGCCAATTACCCTCTTACCTGAAGTAAAAAAGCATATTGAAGTATAACTTTAGAATGCAGCTTATTGTGTTTCTCAGTGACATGTCAATATTGGTGTTTGATTATGTGCACTTTGCTTTTTTACACCTCTTCTCTGTTGACTTTTAAATGCTGTCTCCTGCGTAAAAAATATTCTATTTTGGACCAAAAGCTTTTCCTTTGCAAGACCTCCCTAGAGACAAAAGAAAACACTAAATGTCAAGACGCTAAGGTGATACCTTTCCCTCGCTCTTCCAGGTGATGAAAAAGCCATACTCGTCCACCCTCATCTGACAACTGGGCTCAAAGATGTACGGGTCCTGCAGAGGGAAGAGAAGATTTTTATAAGACAGGGAGCTGAGTAACAGGCATTTATTTGACATTTCATGACATTAAACAGCCAACCTGTTGCTACTGCACATGGGTATACGCTCTGCATCCATCAGCTGATATGTAATATTGGCAGATTTGGTTCAACTCATTTCTAAACATTAGTCTGCCTGTCTTACCAAAACATTTTACACTCCCCATAATGTTAATATTTTAAATAAAGGTGAAGCCTTTTTAAGATTAGGTTAGTTTCAGGTTAGTTTAAGTGTAATGTTAGCTTCAGATATAGTTTTAAGTTAAGGGTTACGTAAAGGGTTAGGTTAAGCAAATAGAAATTATAGTTAAGGTCAGATTAAGTCTCCAGGAAATCAATTTAAATCAATTGAATGTCCTCGGACGTCATGGAGACATGGCTGTGTGTGTTTATCCCACTTCAATCACACATCCGAGAATATTAAAACAGAGAGTGAAAAACATAGAAAATACGAGATGGCTGCTGGGTCACTCAAACTCTAATATTAGCAATAGGGAACAGTGTGAAACACACACACACACACACACAC